CATCCTCATCCTCATCCTCATCCTCATCCTCATCCTCATCCTCATCCTCATCCTCATCCTCATCTTCATATTATTATTATTCATGATTTTTTTACCTTGCTTTAATTCTTTTTCACTTTCTGCCCCCTGCTTAGTTTTTAGTTTTTAAATTTATAATTCTTTGTTTAAAACATTCAATACCAAGCTGTTTAGTAGAAACTTTCAGGTTGACTTAAATAAAAATAGTGTGGCTATTATAGGCATTCCTGCTGGCAGACTGACATTTTGCCAGTTCTTTCTCCTCTCAGCATCCCAGAAGCTGTTCCAGGCAATGAGGACTTTATAAAACAGTGTGCTTTTTGGTGGCTGCACTGTTGTCCTAAGGAAGGGAGAATCAGTAAGATCTTTCTTCCATTTATTCTCCAGGTGATGTTTTTCTTTTGTGGAGAACAGCTCAGGATCCAAATCATTTAAAATCATCTCTTTATCAAAATGTAAAATCAGAATGATGGAAATACAACTACATAAGTTTATCTATGGGTTTGGAATCTAGGAGGTTAAAAGGCCAGAATAATTGAATAGATCCTCACCTGGGATTGCCAAGACATCAGTGGTAGGTAAATTTCTTGGGAGAGATTTTTCTTATATAACAGCTGAAAATATCCTTATGCTGGTCATCTCACTTCTAAAGGAAAACATTCCCCTCTCTGCAGCACCACTACAAGGCATTCTTGGAAAAAGAGCATTTTCTTTTTTCTTCTCGCTAGCATTTGCCATTTCTCCTAGAATAGTCCGAGCAGCCATCCCCACTATGGATGCTCTCCAGATATGTCTAACTCCCAGATTTCTTGGCAGTGGTTATTTTCAGAATTCAGGCTAGGAATCTGAGGAATTCTGGGGTGCCCAACAGGAAGGTTGACCAAGACCTTGGGTATGGTGCCATTTTTTTCTTTTTGTAAAAGAGGACAGCGGAGGAGGTTGAAATAACAGGATCAGTCCAGCTAAAGTTAAGCCCTTTAAAATAGCAATATCATTTCAGGGGACTGCTAAAGGCTTGGGCTTGGAGGTCTAAGAAGATCCAGATTCAAGTGACCCTGGGTCTCACTGGATCACTCTTTTTCAGCTCCATCTACCTCATAGAAGCTCCCCTCAATTCTCAGAGAAAAGGGGGTATAAAGCAAACAACAACAGCAGCAATAATTACAATAATAAGAACCACAATGGGAGAAGCAGGAGATAGTAGAAAGGTAACATTTAGGGCAACCAATTACAGTGATTTGAAGACTGCAGTTGTCTATCTTTCTCCATATGCACATACATACAGTAGATGTGAACCTTAAGCCAGCACTGTTCTTGTAGGTTTAAAAAAGAAAAGAGAAACAACCACAACGACCTCTGGTTTATTGCAGAAAGAAGTCAGACCATCTCTCCCACTCACCTTCCCCTTGGCTACTGTCAGATCTCTAGTCAATTTCACAACCAACCTTATCAATGATCCCATCTTAATCCCTTCAGATCAGTTTCATAAGGTTGGAAAATTCCCTGGCATTTACTTTCTCTGCTTTTGTAAATAGCAGGATTCCATAATTGAAATTGCAGCATTGCACTTTTGGTAAGGCTGTCAGATCTGGGCTGCAAAATTCTGTATGTCTTTGCTGTATTCTCATGACCATCCCAACTACTGCAGGGTTATGGAAAGCACTGGTTAGGCATTATGCAGGCAGGGCCTTTGCAGATAACAGGTGCCCGGTCTCTAATGCAACCAATTTATTGCCAGGCTAAAACGGCCATGAAGAGCAGTTCCTTGTGAGTGGAGGGCACTTGCCTGCAGCAGCCTAGAATGGCCACTAGGAGGTGAGTAGAACCCATCTTTGATCCCACCAGCCA